CCTTGATGTGCGTCGTCGATTCTGTTGCACCCGAATTTGCATGATCGTGCGTGCCCCCTGCCCACCTGAGCCACAGCAGCTGCATCTGCAAGGCGGAGAGGAAGGCAAGCTGCTGGACCTACGGTGCGACTTTCACTAAGTGCCCCCGACCTGCCTCAAGCTGCAGGCCTCTCCCTACCCCCCTTCGCGGCGCGTTGACCGCTGTGAATATGCACCTGCAGCTGCGCCAGGCCGCCAGGTGCGGGCCTCTGGCTGGCTTACGGGCCCGGCTGCACGGCGGTAGCAGGCTGCCGGCCGACTAAACCGGTCAGTAGGTATATAGGGACGGCGCTCCGGCTGAGCGGCCGCCACGCCCCTCTTCGCCACGCCTGGCCACGCCTGGCCACGCCCCGCCACGCCCTTCGCGGTCGCATCGCATGCACGCACAGCAGCGACGCATCACATTACCGGCGTGGTCGCGTTCTGCCTGGCCAACTTTCGCGTATGGCGATCACCTCGCTCGAGAAACGCCAGGCAAAATGTTCCTGAAGAATGAGAACAATAATTCCCCTTTGATGTGTACACATAAAGAAGCTAAAATATATTTTAGTGCTACTGCTAGTGGGGGGAAAAGAAGGAAATAATTGGTGAACACCGTCCGTGTACGTATGTAGGTTTAATAATATTTTCTACCTCTCCCCCTTCCTCTCTGTCTCTGCATGGTTTGGTATTTTATACTAGGCCATCCGCGCTGACATCCGCGAATCGGGCAAAAGGTGGAGTCCCTTCGGCCCCAAAAGTCACAAATTTCGCTCCCCAGGATTTCATTTTGACGAGTTACCCCAGCGGATACTATGTAATATCTAAAACATTAAAAGGTTTTGGGGCCATTTCCGTGTGTTTTATGATACAAAGTTACAATAACAATTTCACGTGAAATCGAATTTTAAATTGAAGTATCTTATCTTTTTATAGGTTTTTGTATGCCGACTGTTTTGGGATATGGACACCAAAAATCCCCACCAATACTATGCTTTGCACTTTCGCACTCGGGGCGGGACGGCTGCTCGGCTTCCACCGCCATCCCGCCGAGCTGACTCCAAAAGAAAACGACATTCTGGACGTTTGACGGCGGGACGGGGCGCGGCGGGGCGTGGTATGGGGCGTCTCGCTGGGTAGAGCGGAGGTTGCAGTCGCGCCCGCCGCGTTAATCTTTGATGGCTCCGCGGGCGTCCCTAAAATGTGTCGGCTGAATAATACATCCAGCCGTCATCGTGTACTGGGGCGGGGCGTGGCGGGGCGTTAGAGTGCGCCCCCGAGCCGCGCCTGCCCGCCTGCGTGCCTCCCCTACGTGAATAATACCGCGTGTTGCAGTGAAATATAAATGGTTTCGTCAACAGAGGGTCAGTGTCGCCGTAGTGTGGGGCGTCAGATCGGGGTGGAGAAAGACAGACAGATGAATGAAAGAAGTCATTTAGCTCATGTAGCTTCTATAATGTTGTTCCGTATTAGGGGATGGGTTGATTTTATTTTCCAGTTTGACATTAAAAAGATAGCTCTGGTAGTGAAATATACAGCTGTTTTGGGACTAGAAAAAACATAGGTGCTTATCTCATTCGCACCTTTAAAAGGTGGTAAGGAAGGGTTTAATGCCTACACAAAGATAGTAAACCCACGATTTCTTTAGAACTCACCCTCGCTAAGGTGCGACAGCACCTTTTTCCCACGTGAGTTGATCCAGATGGTCACATATTGCTGAATCGGATCCACCGTACATTGCAAAGGATTCATTGTGTTATAACACTAACTTATAAGTTATGTAGACAAATTAAGGGCACTATTTTTAATTAGAATGACGGATAACATTCATTTTCTTCCTGTCAATCGGTCGCATCTAGCTAGGTAGGTAGTTAGTTAGTAACCTTTGACTGATTCGGCTTATATAGTTTTTCTCTCACATAAAAAGTCGAGTTTTCGACGATATACGAGAGTGAAACGGTCTGTCACTGCTGGTCCCAAGGCTGCCTGGACAAGTCGCATCATGCGTTTTATTTGTGAAAACGAAAGGCGGCAAGCGGGAGGACAGGTAGGCTGGCGGCTGGCCCGTCCGGGGCACATCTGGACGACAGGGAAAGTCCACTACTGGAGCTCTGGTGCCCCCGCGGGTCAGCTCGAGTACGTGCCGCTGCTGCTGCTGGGAGGCCTACTTCTGCTTCTCGAGGAGGTCGTCCAGCGGGCAGGCGCTCACTCGAGCGCACGGTAGCGAAGAAGACGGTGGGAACGGAACCGGAAGGAGGCTTGGCGAGAGAGGGAAAGGAAGAGAGAGAAAGAGAAAAAGAGAGAGAGGGGCTGATGACGCCTGCGGCCCCGCTGTCTGCCCTGCCGCTGTGCTGCCGCATGATCAGAGGTGCAATCACGCGGGTCTCTCATATCGCCGTAGGGAATCAGAAAGGGAGCGGGGCGCCGGGCGTTTAGAGGCGCGAAGTCAGCGTTGTGGAAGGAGAGAGAGAAGAGAGTTGAGGAGAAGAGGACAAAGTAAATGCTGCTGCCCCGCCAGCAGTCCTGCGACAGCTTTGGTCGCGCCCGGCCGGTACACTCGTGGGGGGGACCTGCTTCACGGCGTGCTCCCGTGTTGTTTGTACAGTGCTCTCATCCGCCGCTCTGACCGACATTTTTGCTGCTTGGATCGTGCTCCACATTTATAATCCACCTCTGTGTGTCGCTCCTTCCTTTCGCCTCATTCATACTCACTTGCTGTGCGGCCTGGCTTTAGCCTCTCCCCGCGCGTGACTCCTGCCCCCTCCCCCGTCTCTCTCTCACTCTCTCCCTCTCCCTCTCTCTGCCTCCCAGACCTCTGTCACGGCCAAGGCGAGTAGCCAAGGCATTTGGCCAGGCGGCTGCGCGGCCGAAGCTGGAGTGAGGAGGGGATTACAACAAACGAAGGAGTGAAACGCGCCACACGAGGAGAGACAACAAGAACCGTTATTAAGTAATTGTAAGTGCACAATAAACCTGTTTACTCAGTTTGCTTTTTGTCTCGATCGCAACTTATGCCACTTTTCTGTTTGATTCTTCCGGGTTTGCGCCCTCGCTGTCTCCCCTCCTCAACTCACCTGCAGCCGGTCGGTGCCGATCGTGCCCCAGTCGGTCTCGGTTTGTCCGCTCGACTTGGCCATTTTGTAGGGCTAATTAGAATAACATTGTAATGCTTAGTATAATTAATGGAAGTGAACTGTTTGAAACCTTCATCTCACTTTGAAAAGTAGTAGTCAGTCGGCTTACCGTTTTCTATATTCTTATGTGTCGTAAAATTACAATTTGATATTGTCAATTTACAAGCACTCTTTTTCGACTTAGTTCTAACTGACCGACAAGCAGGAATGGCAAGTGGGCTGTCGGGACTTTACAACATAATTCACAAATAGAAACTCCAACAAATGTTGCAAATTTTCGAGGATATATTTTTCACAGAGGCTGCGAACAACGAAATTGTTGGTCTCCACCCCAACTCGGTAGGGCAAAGGGACGAAGGTCTTGGTTGGGTTAGAGGGTGGGCCGTGCCGCGTGTGCCCGGGCCGGTCGCTACCGCCTCGCTGTGATGAACACCGCCTCGGGTAGATTGACCGTCCCCGCCACAACGCCTTGTAATCCAATTAATTACCCGCCGCTCAGCGAGCGCCATTAGTCATTCGCTGTAATAACCGTAATTATAATTAAGTCGATATGTCTTTGTGTAGTTTGGCGCGCGTGCGCCCGCCCCCAGCGTCAGAGTCAGAGTGAGTGAGTGCGCCCGAGTGTGTGTGTGTGTATTTTTGGTTGTGATGGAGGGGACAACTGTCGCGTACTGCAATGCGATGTGACGGCATTTACTCATCTGCACGTAGACGTGTGCTAATAAGCCAACATGAATAGGCTCACACTACACACACAGACTGCTTTAAGGCAATCGGTCTTGAAATTGAGCTGGTAAAGATGTTCTTCTTGGGCCCACTTCCAACTTTGGCCTAGAATAGGTACTTGTCCTATTACTGTAGTCCAAACAATTCACCCCTGTGAAAAATGTATTTAGCCGCAACTTTTTTGTAACCGCGACAAGAAACATATTTGTACACACACGCGGAATGCATGCGTGCGGCTACCTCCTGTGTTAGTCCGTGCTCATACTTGGCGGGACACGGCGGGACAGTCTGTGACATTTTCGTTTGTGCTTTAACTAGACATCGCCGACATGCCTGTCCCCGGTGCCCCCCCCCCTCTCTCTCTCTCTGCCCTGGATCCTTCAGATCTGTCTCGGCCTTGTGTTGGCCCCGCTGGAGGAGGGCTCTCCTTTGACACACAGCAGCAACGGCCCTCCGGCGGCAGTGGCGTAGGGCAAGATGTGCGAGAGAGAAGGAGAGCTGGGCCGTAGGGCGGTTGTGTGTGAGTGCGAGTGGGGCGGGTGGCCCGTTACTGGTTGACAGTCCGACACAAACAGTTCGTCACAATAGTCATTGTAGTCGCGCTCTATTCTGGTCCAAGCCGCACCTGACAGGGCAGCATGTGCGGCTCAGTGGTCCACATCTCTGGAGGAGGAGGCTGAGGCTGCTGTCGCAAGGCGGGTACGCTCGGGCACGCTCTCTCGCGGAAACTGAATACATCGCGTTGTCGAGTCGCGACGGCAATGGGAAATGACTGTCATCCTGGCCCGAGCCGCGCGCACGCGCTCCGCTGCCTGGCGCCGGGAAGGACCCGATGAACATCATCGTAGTAGTGTGAATGCACTTTCATCGCGACGACAGCGGCGCCCGTTTTGCCAACAGTTTGTACTGGCTTCACTCTTGCGAACAGGGATGACAATAATGCTGACAATGAGTGTCAAAAAATGGCAAGGGGAATCAGTAACAAAAAAAGCAAAAAACAAAAAATAACAAAAAAAGAAAAGAAATAGTGGTAGCTAATTTATTGAGGCTAGAATCAAACTTCACGCACTGTTCATTTTTTCGTATTTCCCAAATTATAATTTGTTTCTCTTTGTTTCCCAGGCACCCAGCAGTCGCCGCTGGACCACAGCAGCGGCGGCGCGGCGCCCACGGCCCGGGTGGTGCACCCCGCCGCGCGCCACCAGTACACGGTGCACGGCGCGCACCCGCAGCAGCACGCCACGCAGCACGAGGTGGTCGAGTTCGAGGCGCTGCCCACGCACGAGCCGCACGACGACTTCTCGGACCTGCTCGACTTCATGCTCAACAACAACGACCTGGACCGCGGCGGCTTCGTGCGCCTCGACTCTGGCGACGAGGCGCCGCACATCCGCAGGAAGAACGGCGGCGCGCTCACGGACGACTCGGACAACCCCACCATCGCGGACATGCTGGGCACCAAGCCAAGGTGAGTGGCGGAAACATCACTACAAATTGTTATGGCGCCATTAACTTTCATGTCATTTCACTCTACGAAGTATCGCATCTTAGTGGTATTTTAGTGCTTGATTTTTTGTTTCAACGTTCAGCTCTAAAAGGAGGCACAACTTAACGTTTACCACAGAGTTTAGGTCGCATTCGTACTATCGCATTCTAAAACTGACGACGAGGCCACCCTCCATTTTTCTAACTTATCTAAACAGTTGGTGGTGGGGTGGGCCCGATGAAAACTTTTCGATTAGATTGCGATTATTTGTTGTCCGTACAGCCGAACGATATTGCGGATTCTTCCGTCGCCGTGCGCTTGCCGTGCGCCCGTGGTGCGCTCTGGGCACACTCTCGCGCCCGGCGCCGGCCGGCCGGACAGCAGACGGTGCGATTCGCTTTCGACTCGCGTAATGGCCCCTCAGGACTGGCTGGCGCTGGCGGGCTGCGCCGGGCTGCGCGGGCGGCACGCGGCCGGTGCGGGGACCCCATGGCTGTTTGCGGTCGGTCGGTGTTTCGCACGGAACGGTGCGGCCGGGCGAGGCGCGGCGCAGCCTAGATGGTCACACGAACGGAAACAATCGATGATGAGCCACTACCCGGCGCCGCTGGCTGGGCTGAGCGAGAGCCGCGCACCCACAAAACTGCGTTTTTGATTTGGAAACTGCCTTTCATTTTTTAAGGAAAATGCTCTCATTTTCATAAGGATGTTTCCCTTGTTCGATGAGGAAATTTAAAAGCAATAATTACCAAAACAACAATTTTGGTGCGTATGGTAGACTGTAAAAATTTCTTGTCACCATGACAAGAATGTCCTGGCTAACTTTTCGTACAGTGTGCTCTCGTCACAGGTTTTTTTGTCATCAGTGAAAAGGATGTGTCGTAGAGCTGTGCGAATTGTTCGATATCGAATCGAATCGAATCGGCCTGATTCGAATTCGTTCGATTTCGAATTTGCCTGATTCGATGTCGAATAATTCGAAATTTCGAATCGGGTTGGTTCGACATCGAATCGCATTGGGGTCTAGCGTGCGGCACCCACTCTATGCCCGCACTACACGTTGTACAGTCGTCGAACATCTACGGTACGGGGCCAGTTTAAATGAGTTTAAAAATACCGCGTGACTTGCATCCGAAAAATACAATAGATCTTCTTTCGATTCGATTCGGGCTCGAATTTAGACTGATTCGATTCGATTCGATTCGAAATTTTTCAGCCAATTCGATTCGATTCGATTCGAAGAAAATTTTTGAGATTCGATTCGATTCGAAGGCAAAAATCTCGATTCGCACAGCTCTAGTGTGTCGAGACGAGAAAGCCCATGTGCAAAAAATTAGCTGTGGTATTGGCGTCATCGTGACAATTTATTATTACAGTGTTCCGTGCTTGGTGAAAAAATAACATTCTACTGAGGAAGGATCGTCCAGAACGCAGGTCCGCGATTTATCGTTACAATTACAAACCACTGCTAAGTTCAGCCTCTGCCAGCTCCCATAGCGCCTGCTAGGTAGGCAACTTCTCGCCTGCAGCGCGTGCGTGTACTGCGGGGTGGCCTACCCTGAGTCCCGCAGGCGCCGAGCTCCCGTGTAGGTACTTTGCAGAATGAAACTGAGAAGAAGCTGCCGCACTTTCTGGTCGACGCTGGCGCTTGTTGAGAGGCCTGGTGTTGTTGCCGTGCGCGCGCCACGCGGCTCCACGCCTCATCCAAGTTACGCTTGCGGTTAATTTGGGGACGAGGGAGGGGCCGCTATACTAGTATTATCCAACGCTGACACCCAGACTTCGTGCGGTTGTCGTTGGAAACCCGCGCGCGCGCGCGCCCGTGCGCTCCGCGGCTGACAGCGACCTGTGGCGCGGCGTGGCGCGGCGCGGCACGGCGCACTCCAACTCGCCGCAAACAAGGGAAACTTGTAGTGCTAGGGGCCACAGCCCCGGCCGGTGCGGGACCGGGCCGCCGAGGGCCGCCGCCGAGGGCCTGCTCCCGCCACAAAACATTTTTGCACGACTTAAAGGGGGAAGGGGGAGATGGGGGGCGGTGACCCGGAGCCAAGCGTCGAGCCAAGCGTGCGGGCGCACCGTGCCATGCCAGTTGCGCGCTGTCAAAATTACCGGCACAACTACACTCCCATCCTGTGACTGACTTTCTCAGGTATTTAATAGGAAATACATCAGTACAGGTCTGAGAGATTACGAACGGCAATTAAAAAATAAACTTGTTAGCGTTCATGTTCTGCTGCTACAAGTAACGTATGACAGACAAAAGTGTGCAGAGCCGAGGAGTCATTGCAAATGCGCCAAAGTTAAGTCTGTGAAGACATTTGCGATAAGTCGGATGATGCTGGCAGTGTGGAGGCGGCCCGCGCACACGGGCTCTTGCTCGTGACATATTCATCCTGACCGGCTAGCCGATCGGCTGGTCCACAGATGCTGCGCAGAGCGCAAAATGTTCGCAAACTAGGCGCATGATATCACCCGAGCTGTAAACTATTTGAAGAAATCTCTCTTGCTTTTGCCATTCGTTGATATTGTTTTTTCATAACACTTCATTTTTTCATATGATTTAAATACCTCACGCAATTAAAGTTTATGAACTTCTGTGGGCATGCTACTGTTAGTTTTTGTACATGTTGTGAACAATTTGGCAGTTTTGTGTGTAATTGTGAACGAACCCAACAAACATTATGCGACGGAGCGGCACGCACATAGATGTTCATAAATAAGCATAATTAAGCATTAAAATTGTACACAAAAATTTAGTGTGCTCAAAGCAGTGCAAAATCTCGCCCCCCCTTCTTTTAAAAGGGGTGGGAAGGAAGCTGGCACGGGAGGGGGTAGTTTATTTATCTCTCTGTGTTACGCCCTCTCCCCGTATTTTATTGCCCATAGTATCGTCCACGCAGTGCAGCGCCGTGGTCGCGGCTCCCCTGACGGCTCGCGCTGTCCGAAGGCTGACAGGCCCCGCCATGTAGATGTGTCAAACGCGCGCCTCCCCTGGTCCGGCCCGCCCCGCAGCTGACGCCACGCCACGCGCCGCCCCCACCGCACGTGTGTTGTTGTGCGTCACGCCTGCCCGACACGTCACGTGACGTCATGTCACGTTAGCCAGATGGCGTGCACAGAGAGCGCACGTCGAACGCCTCGGACGTGCTCGTGAGTTATGGCTGCCGCCGCAACTGCTGGAGAAGTCGAAGAGGAGGAACGGCAGCAGCAGCGCGAGGCGCGAGGACAGGCGAGATGAGAAAGAGGCTTACTTACTTATTGCGCAAAAAAACAACAACATGAAACTATGAGAAATGCGAAACATACGTCTAAATGCGCACTTGTATGCGCGCCGTAGCGTACCGTACAGAGGGGATATGATGGAGAATTCCGCTTCCACCTGCGAGGTGTGCGGAGGAGGGGCGCGCGTCAACCTCTCCTTATCGCGACCAGCGCGTGCCCGTTCCCACTGCGCCCCGCGCTCGCCTCCCCCGCATAGCGTTGACTCGCCGGGGCCGGGGTGTGACTTTATTTATTTATATTTACGACATCTATTTCCCATTTGCAGTACAGCTCATTTATTGTCTGCGGACAGGACTTATTCCCTGGCCCCCCACTCACACTCACACTCACACACACACACACACACTCACACTCACACTCACACTCACACACACACACACACACACACACACACACAAACACACACACACACACTCACACACACACTCACACACACACACAGTCACGCAGACGCACACAGGCGCGCGCGCTTGACACATTCTAATGGCTGGATGGCGTGGCGCCACGAGGGGCTTCTATTCGTCATTTTATATTCGCTGGGGTGGAGGGGAGCCCCGCTGCACAGAGTCGGGTGTGCTTGGTCCGTTCGATCGGCTTTGAGTCCGGTCCGATCCGATCCGCCACACCTGCACCGCACCTGCCTTCCACCTGCCTGCCCACCACCAACCAACCCCTCGCCTGCCCCGCTCCTCGCCCAGCCTTCTCGATAATGTATGTTGTCCCTGGAATTCAAACTACTGCATGACCTTTATGATTCTTTTATTTGGCTTATCTTCCTGCCGTTGTCACTCGACTGGACTACTTAATAGGCAACATAAAGTCTAAGTTGTGACTTAAATTCATTAACATGAAAGACCATCAAAATTGAATTCTCAAATTAACTCGCAGCCTGGTTACTGATTTTTTTGCCGTCTATGTCCCTCTTCCCCATTCCTATTCCCGTTTTATTTTTGCAGCCGGAACTTTAATTTACTTTCAGAAATACGCATTGATTCCCTTTTCAATTAGTAACAATTTAAAAGTTTGGCAGTATTATTCAGTACTATACGAAGTAATGTACAAATTGCTTAGAATTCCTGTGATGAATTTGTAGAGTCAAGTCACCTTCTGCTTTGGAATTCTTAGTTCTTCTTTCCGAAGTAAAATTGAATGTTTGCCTCCTGCGAGGGGGCGGGCGAGGCGTGCAGCACGAAGGGCCTCTGCCTTTTCCATTCGCACAGCGGCGGCGGGGATGTCCCCAGCGCCTCTGGTCGTGTTGTGGAGCGCGGGGGACAGGCCTTCGTGACGCCGCCGCGGCCGCCTCGTGTGAGCCGTGCTGCTTGACCCTCGGCTCGGCTCGGCTCGGCCCGGCTCGGCCCGGCTCGGCTCGGCTGCTCCTAATTAACTAATGGGCCGTGGTGGCGGCGCGTAGTGCTCGCGTTCAATTAGGCTCCCGCGCGCGCTGGGTCAGGACCGTCAGGACGCACTGGAGGGGCTGCACGCCGCGCCGTCCGACAGGCGACCTAGCCCAACAGAAAAGAGGATGCACGAGTAGCGTCCTGGCACGCCGGCCAACACTTAAGTGTGTCAGTTCAAGATTTTATAAGCGGACTTAAGCGGAATAAAAAGTGGTCGGAAAAACACGTTCAGTGCCCTTTCTGCGAGCCGTTTTTAGCGAGATGAGACTCGAGAATAAAGCGTCTCCAAAGCGGCTTTGAGCGGCCTCCTGCCCGGAGGGACGCGGCCGGGGCGTATCCGGCGGGCGCCGGCGTGAGCTCGACTTGATGTTCCGGCGCCGGGGGCTGGCAGCAGCGGGCGGGGGCCATGCGTGGGGCTTTTGTTCTCATTATTCGTCTTGAAATGGGCGGACTTGACGCCCATTCTGTTTCGCGTAAAAACACTGACCCGACACCCGACATTCAGTACGCGCGTTTGGAGAGGAGGATTATGATGGGCGTGAAATGAAAACAGCGCACCAGCAGCAGCCGGGAGTGAAGCGTTCTTGTTCTTGTCTATCAGGTGGAGTCACACTCCTTTCAGGTCTGTCGCTGTCTGGGCGGGAATAAGTTTCCGACCCCCAGGCCAGGCCTCTGTCGTGCGCACCGCTGGTGCGAGAGGGACGGCATTGGTGAGGTTGTCCCTCTCTCTAGCGCCTGGGGAGGGCGCGCGGGTCCTTTTGTCTACAAGCTCTGTCGCTGCTTTGCTTGCGTCGTCGTCGATGACTTCGATGGGGAAACTTTCTACTCGTGCTGGGAGGGCGCGGCACTGCGCGCCAGCGGAAGACAGTCCACATTGAGTAGTGCATGCGAGGAACCCGCAATGTTTGCATGCCGGCCCGGCTGTGCTGGGCTGCGCGGTGCGACCCTCGACGCGGAGGTGACAGCGGGCCGTCCTGACGGACCTGACAACGGCGCGGTCGCGGGGCAGTCCGCGTGGAGAGCTGGATCGGAAAGCGGAAGAAGTGTCGGGGCGCGCTGGGACACCGGAACCGGATGTGCACACTGCGGTGGTCGCCTTATAGGAGACTTGCCACGATTAACCGCCCCGAGAAAGTAAACTCGCCGGTTTATAGGAATCTCAATAACAACGGGTCACGTATTTTGTTAATTTAAGAATCGAGTGTATGTCAGCCATTGTCCGCAACGTGGGTTGTGTAGATTTACCGCGGCACCCTTTGAGCTCTCGCCGCTCCGCTGCGCTGCGCTTCCCTAAGTTTGTCCATTAGACGACACCTCGGTGTTTGCAGACCCTTGTTTGCCTCGCGCTGGGGCCTGATCCCCTCCAGCGCCGTGATGAGGGCGCCCCAAAGCAGCGCCACCACCTGCGGAAATCCGCGCTATTGATTTCGTCGGTTTTTGTCGAGTTGGGTGTGACTACGTCACGTGTATAAAAATAATTGAAATTCGGCAAAGCTGTAATGATTTTCTTTTTGCACGGGCGACACGGCGTTGTCCCCTCTTTGCCTTGCTTTCTGCACGACCCTGCTGCGGCCTCGCTCGTGCAAGGGAGTCATACCGCTGCGCTGCACCTGCTGAAAGAGGGAGCCACTTTTCACGGAAGTTTCGGACAGTTCTGCGCCCGTGCGCGCGCGAAATGTTAGTTCTTGGAAATCGCTAGAGCCGGCGTCGCCTCCTCCGCTGCTGGCGCCGTTGCCGCTGCTGGCGAGAGGAGAGTGGGGAAGTTTTGCGTCTTCTTCCTCCTCGCAAACTAAATTGTGTACAGCGCAGCACATGCGCGAACAGCTCTGGACTCCAGTAGGCCACACAATAAAGTTGCCGCGTCGCGTCCCCAAGTTGTTTTGTTATTATTGTTCGAAAATTCTCGCCGCGGGCTCTGAAAATGGATGGCCGTCGGCAGCCAAGCGAGTGAGCCATGAGGCCGCCTCTCCTTTTCGTGCGACGCGCCTTGTTTCTCTCTCCCTGCTTCATCCCCACCTCCCAAGTCTACACTTTATTTTATTTACTTTTTCTGGCCATGCTTTCCCATTTTCCGGTGCCGGTGGTCCGACCGCTCTGCTAATGCGACCCTCAGCATCGCCACAATGGACCGGAAAGCGTCTTGTTATAGTTTCTCTCTCGGCGCTGAACGGAGCTGAGAGGAGCTGACCCGCGCGGCGCAGTTTGACACGCTCCCCTTCCCTTCATGAGGGGCTATGACCGTCGAGGCGAAAGACGGCTGCTGCCCGCGCCATCGGGTCTCTCTCTCTCTCTCTCTCTCTCTCTCTCTCTCTCCCCCCCCCCCTTCCCCTTCCCCTTCTCTCTCCTTCTCTCTCCTTCTCCCTCCCTCCCGCAAGCTTGCACACTGCGCGCGGCGCGCTCACACCGCCCTGTCGGTCTGTTTCGCAGTTTTGGCCTGAGCACCTCGACCCTACGTGACTCAATCCCTTCTCGCCCCTCCTCGCGAGCTGCTTCGAGCAGCAGCCCTTTTGCCGTCCAACATCACACAAGGTGCTTCACGACGTGGTCCACACTGTCGAAAGCGTCAGGTGTATTTACCGCAAGGAAGTCCGTCCGTCATTCACAGTGACGCCTGCCAAGTGCGCCTGCCAGCCTGTGCAAGCTCTCATAGCGCCTAGTGGGTAGGCAATTATGCCCTGCAATGCAGCTGTATACTGCGGGGTGGCCTACCCCAAACCTCGCAGGCGCCAAGCTCGCGTGATTCGACATTCGACGAATATATCTAATAAAAAAAATAAAAAAACAAACAAAAACTGAGCAAGGCGGTGACTGTGGCAGGTCATGGTTAATTGTGGATATTGCAAATTAGCGATTCCTAGAAATAAAACTAGTCTTCTGTGCAAAGAGTGCACCCAAGTATTTCACGTAGATTGTGCACGCACGTTGCGCAAAAAATTTTCCGGTGACAGTGGCCAATTGATCTATATCAATAACTTTTTCTGTGAGCCGTGCACCATAACCTCCAAAACAAGCATGGAGGCCAGGATCAAGGCACTAGAAGCCCAACTTTCAGAGTTAAGAAAAGAAATCCAGGCATTAACGGCCAAACTGAACAAGTTTCCCAACCCCCAAGCAATAGAAAATGACTTCGAAAAGAAGAAAGCTGAGTTAGATCAACTTGTCCAGTTTGCCAACGAACAATTTGAAACCAAAGCATCAGAAATCAACAGCAGTGTATCAAGCCAGCTATCCTCAGTGCAAGCAGAAATCCACAAAATAAAAGAAGAGCTAGAAGAGCAGCGGTCATATCAAAGAAGAAACAACTTAGAGATCTTTGGACTCCCTGAAAATAAAAATGAAAACGTCTACGAACTAGTACTTGAAGTGGCAGCGGTTTTAAAGGTAAATCTTAACTATAGGGACATTGATGTTGCCCACAGACTGCCAACCAGGAGGAAGGGTGAACCTAAACCCATTATAGTGAGGCTAGTAAACAGATATGCTAAGGAAGCTATCATCAAAGCAAAAAAAAACAAGGCAAACTTATGCGTGGAGGACTTAGACCCTAAATTTAATCTGTCAACCGCTTCGGGGGATAACACCCTTGATGGCAGGATATTTATAAATGAACACCTCACTGCTCACGCCCAGGCCCTCTATAAGAGAGCAAGATTCCTCAAAGCTAAGAACCACTTCAAATACGCCTGGACCAGGGAGGGTAAAATCTTCCTGAGAAAGACTGACAACTCTCCTGTGATACTCGTCTCCAATGAAAGGATTATGGCTTCCCTTGAAAGAGAAGCTAAAGTGGAAAGGGACAACCAAAATGATTAAAATCTGTGATAACTAACTAACTGTGATATAATGTGATATTCTATCCTGCAATGGATCCCACCTGTGATTTTAATATCTATAATGAATTTAACTTAAATTCTATTTATGATCTACCTGATAAGAAGGATGGCTGCTTGCAAATACTTTATATGAACAGCAGAAGCATAAGAAAAAAACTAGAACAGGTTGAAACTCTTATTTATGCATCAAATCAACCTGATATTGTGGTCATCACTGAAACGTGGCTAAAAGAATCAGAGCTCCAATATTATAAGATCCAAGGGTACAATTTATATGGCTCAACAAGAACTTGCAAAATAGGTGGCGGCATAAATATTTACATGAAAGACTGCTGGCATGTCAATTCTTGCCAAATAACAATGAATACCCATGAGATCATGCAGTTAGAGGTTTCACTAGGAAACCTAAACCTTTCCTTAATAGCCATCTACAACCCTGCAACAGCAAATTACGATAACTTCATGGAAGACCTAATTCCCATAATAGAAAAGGATTCAGAAGGACCTCGAATTCTCCTTGGAGACTTCAATATTAATCTCATGAACCAAGCGGATCATCTTGCTAGGAATGTACTAGACACAATGACAAGCTGCGGTCTCTTACTAGCAAACAGCAAATTTCCGACCAGACCACTATCTGGAACCCTACTTGATCATGTGTATGCAAACCATCTACCAAAGAAAGAAGTTAACATCTTTAATGTCCTGTCAGATATCAGTGATCATAACCTACTCATTTTGAGACTCAGCAAAAGAACTATTCAGAATACCACCCCAACCGAATCAGAAGAGAGAATCAATTTAGGTGCGGTACGGAATCAACTAATTAATAACAATTTTACATGTGACAAAACAAACCCTGATCAGTATTTGCTAGAGCTAACCAATCACATCCACCACTGCATAGAATTGTCAAAAGCTACCAAACAATCAAAGAAATTTAAGGAAAACTGCAAAAGAGAGGCTTGCTTCCCCTGGATTGATAGTCACTATCTAGAATGGTGCAGAAGGAAGGAAAATTTGTATTATCAGACAAAACTTTACCCCAATAATCAAGAAGTGAAGAACTCCTACAAAATAGCCAGAAATAAGGTGACTAAATTGAGAAGAGACAAAAAAGACAGCTATTTTCATGACAAACTACAGAACAGCAAAAATCCTAAAGAAACATGGTCCACTATCAACCACATACTCTACAACTCAAAACAAACATCCCCAAAGGAAATTAAGGTTAAAGTCAACAGCAGAGAACTGACTAGTGAGGAAGCCCCCTCAGCAATCAACGATTATTTTGTCAATATTGGTAAAAAACTTGCCTCTAAAATCAACAGTAGCCCTGAAGCTGGACTAGACCTTCTGCCAGAAAATGAAAGCACAAAATTGCAGATCTTTGAAAAAATTAATGATGAAGAAACAATTAAAATAATAGATGAATTAAAAAATAAAAACAACCGTACCAAGGATGGAATAACCAATAAAATTATAAAGACCTGCAAAAATGAACTTGCACCATATATCACCAAACTAATAAACCTTACTTTCGAGAGTGGTATATTTCCTCAGCCATTGAAGATAGCCAGAGTGCTACCTATTCCCAAGAAAGGAAACAATAAAGAAATAACCAACTACAGGCCAATCTCCATTCTTCCGGCCCTTTCCAAAATTCTGGAAAAAGCCGTCAAGAAAAGGCTTGTGGACTTCCTGGTACATTCTGATTTCTTCACAAAAAAGCAATATGGTTTTACGGCTAAGCGTAGTACTCAAACAGCTGCGGTCGACCTTGTAATAAAACTACAAGAAGCCCTTGATAAGGGCCTGGTAGCAGTAGGACTCTTTTTAGACCTGGCTAAAGCCTTTGATACCGTTAATCACAAACGTCTGATAATCAAGCTTAAGAAAGCTGGCATCTGTGATAAAGCACTGGACTGGATAAGCAGTTACCTCAGTAATCGCAAACAATATGTGGACATCAACGGCTTGGAAAGTAACCTAGAAGTGATAGACATTGGGGTTCCACAAGGCTCCATCCTTGGGCCTCTCTTATTTATTGTCTACATCAATGACATTGTCAGTAACAACACCTTTGGCGAAATCTTCCTATTTGCAGACGATACCTGTATCTTCTACATAGGGCAAGACCCAGTCAGCTTGCTCCATAAATGCCAAGAAGACATCCACAAAATAGAAAACTGGCTAAATCTAAATCTTCTGACCTGCAATGCCGCTAAGACCAACTTTATAATTTTCCACAAAAAAAACTACAAGCTATCAACCCAACTTCCAGCCCTCACATTCAATAATATCCTGCTAGATGAGGTTGACTCTGCAGTATATCTGGGTCTAGTCATGGACAAGCACCTTGATTGGTCCCATCATATCTACAAGTTAAAACAAAAAATTGCCCCTGTAATAGCTGTGTTAAGCCGTCTCTCAAATTCAACCAGCCTTATCACAAAAAAGTGTATCTATTATGCTCTCATTCAAAGTCACCTCTCCTACATGAATGTTATCTGGGGCTCTGCCAGCGCCTCCTTAATCAATGAGCTGCAAGTACTCCAAAACAGAGCCTTAAAAAAATTGTATTGTTTACCCTTCCTCACTCCTTCAACTCATCTTTATAAAAGCACTGACATCCTTAATCTAAAAAGTCATCTCCTTTTGTCATCTGCTACTCTTGTTTACAAAATTAAAAATGGCCATCTCCTTTCCAATACCCAATTCTTCACCAATAGCTCGCTTCATCTACACTTCACTAGAACCGCCCAAAATATTCATATGTCTCACAATTCATCAACCAAATATGGCATTCATGGTGTTCGTCACATAATCATCTCCGCCTATAATTCTGTACCATCTTCCATAAAAAATAAAAGCTCACTCCCAGCATTTTTGTACCATCTTAAGCAATGGATTATTGCAAATATGTAGCACCTTAATCAATTTTGCACTCACTTTTTTGAAAAACTTATTTATTTTGTATAAACAATTAACCTTTTGCCTGCCACAGCAAAATATGTATATTGCCCCTTAATGGAGCTTGCTCTTGGGGTGTTCTAACAAATAAATAAAAAAAAAAAAACAAAAAAAAACAACGAACGTACTTTCCGCACGTGCTGCGGTGAACCAAGGCGGCCGGGGCAGCCAGGGTTCATCGCCGCAAGTTACAGCGTGTTCAGCGTGGTTCACTTAACGACGTTACGGTAAAATTCTTGCTTATTTCATTAGTGCAGCCAGCCCCACCTACTTCTTTGCATCCGCGCAGTAAAAACTAAAAAAAAAAAAAAAAAGGACAGAAAAATAACGTTCCACGTGCTTTAATAGCCACGTGTTCGGAGCCCTAGCCAGACGACTGTCCTGTGTCCTGTGGCGACTCGAGGGTGCACTGTAGGGAGCCCGTTACGCTCCGCCCACACCCGCCACCACCCCCTACCCTCCCGCGTTAGACTTTCTTGTACCAACTGCCCACCTCTTCATTTTGCTGCTTTCCCCCGCTTTTCCTCTGCCCACACAGCTCCTTTTACTTCTCCCTCTCTCTTATTTTCCTCGCTCCGTTCTCATCCTGCCCGCCCAGAGCGCGCTCCACCGCGCCTTGTAATGGTGAGCATTATCGTCATTATCGGCACGTGGTGTGCGTTTGTGTGTGTGTGTGTGTGTGTGCGTGCGCGTGTGCGCGTGTGTGTGTCAGCGCCTGCTCCTAGGCACAGCAGCAGGCTTGGCTCGCGTCAGCAGCTGCAGCAGCTGCAGCAGCGTATCGAACGTCTGTAAGTGCGACACAGATAAAGGGGTAGGGGTTGAGAGTGCGTATGAGTTCAGCCAGTAATACTTTTCAGCCCTGACCAGTGTCTGCGGTGCTCGTGCGGTGCTGACTGACACCCGCGGTACTGACACCTGTTCGGGACCGACGCCCACGTGGGCGACGCGACGCCTCTGCTCTCAGCGCCGTTTAGCGCCGCGGCGGCGCATCATGGCACACAATGCTAATGGCTGACATTGTCGGACCGCGGCCGGGTCGCGGGGCGTTGCGCAACACAAACTTCCGACACGACTCAGCAGATTCACGAGCGAACGCCACGCTGCCGGCGACAAGGTTTACCACCGCGGCGCGCGCCGTACCCTGCAATGCGCCGCGGGGTGTGGGCCTCGGGCAGCGCTGGAGGATGCGCGGGGCGGGGAGGGGACGGGGGAGGGGCCCTGGAGTCAGCTCTCTGCGCGCACCGCGGCCGCCGGGAAAGAGGGCTTTAGGTTTTAGGGGGACGCTCGCGTCGTAAGGGGTTCGGGTCCAGCAGGTCGACTGCGGCCGGTAAAAGTCCGGCCGCTAGTATCCACACCGCAAAAAAAAAATCCCGTAAGAGGGGTGTTTGTTTAAAATGTGTGCACGCGGAGATTTCTGTATCGGGACTTGGCGACTATCGGCGTTTACATATTGTTTGTTGTTTTTAGGAGAACTAGTGGCGCACATATACCAAGCGTGCCTTATGCGCCGTTGCTCGGACGGGGCCGGGTCACGCGGTGACCGGCTGCTGACGGCGTTTTCGGCTGTGGTGATGTCGGCGGCGGTGACGTTGACGGCGAGGGTGATGATTGCTGCCGTTGCGCAAGCCACACCAGATGCATATTATTTTCCTTTTCTTTCCTCCCGCAGCCGACGTCGTCACCGTTGCGCCGCCGCGTCGCGGCAGCAGTCGCGACTCTGTTCCGCGTGTCGCGTAGTTTAGTGGCCGAAAGCAAAGAAAGAAATAAAAGAGGGGTGGAGATAGAAAGACAGAATGGGAACAAGAAAGAAGAAGAGGAGGAGGAGGAGGTCTGATGTCGCTTTTGTATTTGGCGCGGCAGTTTTCAGCTCCATTTCCCTCCGAACAGAGACCTCAGTCCGCGAGTGGCCGAGTGGAGCCGGGGCCGGGGAGTGGACGCGCTCACCCGCTGGCCCCTTGATGACAGATTCGCGCCGGCGGGCCGGGCGGGGCGGCGGGGCGGGCCCTG